AGAGGATGTGGGAGGGTGAAAGGGGTAAGGGGCACATATGTATGGTGACAGATAAAAACTAGACTATTGGTGGTGAACACGATGCAATCTATACAGAAACGGATGTATAATAATGTACACCTAAAATTTACACAATGTTATAAACCAACATGACCTACTACTCAGCTATAAGAGAAAAGATGAAATCTTGCCATTTGTGACAACATGGATGGACCTTGAGGGTATTATGCTAAGTGAAATAAGGGAGATGGAGAAAGTCAAATACTGTATGATCTCACTCATAAGTAGGAGATAAAAACAACAACAACAAACACATACATGCAGAGATTAGATTGGCAATTACCAGAGGGAAAAGGGGCAGGGAGAAGGGCAAAAGAGGTGACAGGGCATATGTGTATGGTAATGGGTGGTAACTAGTCTTTGGACGTGAATATGATGTAGTCTACACAGAAATTGAAATATAATGATGTGCACCTGAAATTTATATAATGTTAAGATCAATGTTAACTTAATAAAAAAATAAAGAAATGTGGTATATATAGAGATAGTTTATATATATATATATATATATATATATATATATATAATGGAATATTATTCAACCATATAAAAGAAGAAAATTCTGCTATTTGCAACGACATGAATGAACCTGCAAAGCATTATGCTAAGTGAAATAAGCCAGACAAAGACAAATACTGTATGCTATCACTTATATGTGGAATCTAAACAAAGAAACAAATATAAAGTTGAACTCATAGAAACAGAGTAGAATGGTGGTTGCCAGGGGCTGAGGGGTGGAGGAAATGGGGAGATGTTGGTCAAAGGTTACAAACTTCTAGCTATAAGATAAATAAGTTCTGGGGTCCTTTGGTACAGCATGGTGTTCCTAGCTAATAAGACTGTATTGTACACTTGAAATTTGCTGAGAGTAGATCTTAAGCGTTCTCACCACACGTACAAAAAAAATGGTAACTGTGTGAGGTGATGGATGTGTTAATTAACTTCATTGAAGTAAATCATTTCACGATGTATACGTATATTAAATCATACACTTTAAATAAATATATTATTTGTCAATTATACGTCAATAAACCTGGAGAAAATTTTAATCTCAACTTTTTCCTTTCCTTCTCTTTTGTCCCTTCCCCCCAGGACCCCATCATGAGGTAGGGATCAGGCTAGGATTAGCCAAGGTTCCATATTGCTTGTGATGGTTCCTTACATCCATATAACAACAGAGCTGCCTAATATTAGACATGAGCCCCAATTTCAGAGGCATAATTAGATTTATTACTTTAACTAAAAGTAACTGTTATTCTTAATCTCAACAAACAACAGAAACTTTTGTTTGCAAAGTTGTAGGAAGTTAACAGCCAAGAGAGTTAGGAAGAGGCTGAGTGAGGCTCATTATACTAATTCTCCGGGGATCCCAAACCCCATCAAATTTGGAAGAACAGTAGCTCCCTTAAGAAAACAAAGTTGCAACCCAAATCTTTCAGCCCTGATGTCACCTCCACAAAGAGCTGTTTATTCCAGGAGTAGCTCACCTACTGTCTCTTAGAGCCATACTGTCTACAGAAGAAATATCACCTCACAGAGACGGGGCCAATTTGAGAATGTAATAAAAGTCTTTATCAGTCAAAATCACCCACATTAGTCCAAGAAGAGGATGAAGGAGGATTGTGCTGAATGACAACTGTACTCTTTCAAGTTTTTTTCCAGGATGAGCTTGCTGAAAATGGAAGATTTCAAAACATTCTGGACTCATCAGATCCTGTGAGCTGAATGATGACGAAGTCCAAGGAAACGATTCTCTTACCCAGGGAATGCTGCTAACCATTCAGGACGCTTTGGAAAAGGAGAGGTGTTTTTAAAGAATGCTATCAAATTCATGAGAGAGAGACATCTCACACCAGTAGTATAAGATCTGCATTTAGAGCCCACAGACAACAGTGCAACCTCAAGAAATATCCATGAGAACCAAATATCTTCTGCAATCTTGTGAGTAATTTGGAATGGCCTGACTGGGACTTCCCAGGGGGCTGCTAGACACCTGACCCTGGACCTTTAGGGTAATCTCTACCTTGTCACTGCACAGGAGGGTAAAGCAGCAGTGGCTTCCCCAAACACTCCTCTTCCTGGCACCTGTTTTATATATTCCTTTATAATATGGCACACTGAGCACACGCACTGGGTCTCATTCCTAACTTTAGCCCCACCCTCCGGGTCCATGTTAGGCAAGTCAACGTTTATCCAGTCAGAGCCATTAAGTTACTCACTCACATTGAGGAATTTTGCCTGTCAACCTTGTGCTCTGTTTTCCCCTTGGAAAACCCAAAGCTCTGGACAACATCGAGTCTGGGTGAAACTTTAAATGCTTTTCCTTAGATGGAGAAGAACTCACCCTCCTTCTAAGTGTACTAGAACTGCCCAGAAGGCTATGCATTTCTAGCCATGGCAGGACAAACCTCCAGGGCATCCATAGAGACTTTCCCACTGAGCACTACATGACTGACCCTTAAAGCAATGAATGATCGAGGTGGAGTGCAATCATGTCCAGGCTCTCTGGCTGCCAAGCAAGTCTCCCCTTTCACTCATCAAGCATGTGAGGTACAGAAAGAAATGCCTGGGATTCATGAAGTGGCCCACTTCCCTTTGTATCTGGAAGGCCCCCCAGCTGTTGACCTCTGGTTTGAAACAGGAAAAAAACAGAAGATTGTCAGCAGCTCTGTCTATGCGCTATATCCATGGGCTGGTCACAATGTCTCTTATTGCTTTCTCAGAGCTAAGCTCATGATTCAGCACGAACCCAGAGCTTTTTCTTCCTCTCCCACTCATAGTCAACTCTTCCTCATCTTAGTCACTATTCCATCTTTCTCCCAATGTGTCCAACCCAGGACTTTGTCTAAATAATACAATCCTATTTGCTCCTAATGACGTTTCCGGGTATCACATTCATGTTGGATTCCGCTTCTGTTGTGGAAAGAGTTAGGTAAATTCCTTGGCCACCTGGGCTCACATTTGAACCAAATGATTAGGCTGCAGAGACTTCCTTTTCAAATTACTGTTGAATCTAGACAATGTTGAGCCTAGAAATAACCTGAGGGGAAGAGCCCTCGTTATATCCTCAGAGGCTGATTGTCTATTTTGTGTACCTTAGTAACTGTCAACAAATTTTAGATATAATGATAGCTTGTGGAATGGCTTTGAATAGTATAGGCTGTACCAAAAAGAAGGTAAAACCATAAGAAAAAGCAGAGTTTATATAGTTTACCATTTCATTCTCCCCACTAATACCCTCCAGCATCTCCCTCATTTCAAATACCTAAACTGGGTCCCAACTTTATTCTCCAGCGACTGGCAAATAATTCTTGCTACAGCTCTGCCTGATAATTAACGTAGTAGTTGATGATGCTTAAGGAAGGAAACTTTCAGGGATGCTCACTTTTAAAAAGATCTTTTTAAGGGTTTAGGGGGGTTTGCTGCTGAGAGCACTCTAGCAGACCCAATCAGACCTCTGTCTATTTACTAGCTCAAACTCTAGACACTCTCAAAGATGGAGAGTCTCCCTTTAGAGAATGTTTGTGGTCAGCCATCTCCATCTTCTCATGAGGAAAAGCAAACTATCTTCAGATGGATCAACCTAAGACTAACTGGCATATGACTCTGCAGGTTTGCTGTCCTCTAGGAAATACTGCATTAAGTATGTCCTTTCACCTTGTGTGTCAAACACCATCAAATCCATCTCTCAGACATTTGAGTTGTTATTCTCATTCAATAAATGTTTATTAAAGCAAAGTTTTTCAAAAAACTTGTTCTAAGGGCTGTGGAAAATGCAATGAGTAATAAAGAAAATTTTCACTCAATGAGCAACAAGTGAAAACCAAATATAAAATATGATAAAAATTAAATGAACTATAATAAAATTGAGGGATACAGAGGAAAGACTCACTCACTCAGAAGAGAAATCTTCATAGAAATCATAGCACTTATTGAAGACAGACTTAAAGGATAAATAGGATTTGAAAGGCTGATGATGCAAAGCTGAAAAAATACCATGTGCATAAAACATGAGCATAAAATGGATAAAGAATCCAAAGAACACAAGGAGTCGTAATATTATTGTATCTAGAGCCCATGGGAGGATGTAATGAGAGAAGAACCTGGAAATATCGTTTGGGAACAGATCACTAAAAACCTTGAATACCAAACTACCACTAAGGAATTTTTATTTATGCATCTATTACTTGGATTTTTCTTTTTTTGATTAGTGAGTGTTGTTCTTTTCTCTCATAGATTTCATTTTTCCTTTTTATTAATCCAAATATTACTAAAAGGCATCAAAGATTCAGGTAATCTTGAAACAGCAAATAGCGTCTATTTTAGCCAGTTTACCTCATGATGTAGATCCATGGAGTGAATGGCTTAGTTAAGCAAAAAGTTTACTACCCTCAAATAAACTACTTATGAAAGAAGACCCAATATTGGAGTAGAGATAAAAGTAAAAGCTATTGAAAGAAGTGATAATCTTAGGGGCAAAAGAATGCATTAAGGAATTAGGAATAAAAGTTTCATTTAAAAAAGTAAGCCAGGATAATTTTTGGATTGAGACCTTACAAAGGCCACCTCCAAATCACCACTTTCTCCTCTAACATACAGACACACCCGGGAGCAAGCATGAGACAGACACCCTCAGAAGCTCGGCAAAATAAGCTTGAGTAGGGGGCCTGGCCCCGTGGCCGAGTGGTTAAGTTCGCGCGCTCCGCTGCAGGCGGCCCAGTGTTTCGTTGGTTCGAATCCTGGGCGCGGACATGGCACCGCTCATCAAGCCACGCTGAGGCAGCGTCCCACATGCCACAACTAGAAGGACCCACAACAAAGAATATACAACTATGTACCCGGGGGCTTTGGGGAGAAAAAGGAAAAGAATAAAATCTTTAAAAAAAAAAATAAGCTTGAGTAGTCAGTGGGGGGAAGATATGTCCTTCAGAAAAAAAAGGATTCCTTCAGCTCAAAATGCCACCCTCATCCCTCTTGACTTTCACTTCCAAATGTCCTCAGATCCCCAGACATCATGACTTCTGATGCTGCACACCTCTGATTGGCCATCTCCAGCAGAGATCAGAAGAGCCATGGAGAACCACACCACTGTCACAGAGTTTGTCCTGCTAGGGCTCTCAGATGCCTGTGAGCTGCAGATGCTCATCTTCCTGGGGCTCCTCCTGACCTACAGCCTCACTCTACTGGGGAATCTCCTCATCGTGGTCATCACCCTCATGGACAGACACCTCCACACCCCCATGTACTACTTCCTCCGCAATTTTGCTGTCCTGGAGATCTGGTTCACCTCTGTCATCTTCCCCAAGATGCTGACCAACATCCTGACTGGGTACAAGACCATCTCCCTCCCAGGCTGTTTCTTACAAAGTTTCCTCTATTTCTTCCTGGGCACCACAGAGTTTTTCTTACTGGCAGTGATGTCCTTTGACAGATATGTGGCCATATGTAATCCCTTGCGTTATGCCACCATCATGAGCAAAAGGGTCTGTGTCCAGCTGGTTCTTTCTTCGTGGTTGGCAGGATTCCTTCTCATCATTGTTCCAAGTTTCATCGTATTACAGCAGCCATTCTGTGGTCCCAATATCATTAATCATTTCTTCTGTGACAACTTTCCACTCCTGGAACTCATATGTGCAGACACAAGTCTGATAGAGCTTCTTGGGTTTATTGTGGCCAATGTCAGCTTACTAGGCACTCTGTCCGTGACAGCCACCTGCTATGGACACATCCTCCACACCATCCTGTGCATCCCCTCAGCCAAGGAGAAACAGAAAGCCTTCTCAACCTGCTCCTCTCACATCACTGTTGTGTCTCTCTTCTACGGAAGCTGCATCTTCATGTATATCCGGTCAGACAAGGGTGACCAGGGGGAAGATAGAAACAAGGTGGTGGCTTTGCTCAACACCAGGGTGACCCCGATGCTCAACCCCTTCATCTACACCCTGAGGAACAAACAGGTGAAGCAGGTGTTTAGGGAGCAGATGAACAAGCTCTTCTTATAAAGCTGTGGAACCAAGAGGCTGAAGCTAGGATTCCCAGAAAAGCTAAGGCAATATCTGGCCCAGGCAAGGAACTGAGCCTTTCTCATTCAGGAAAAGTTCTGATGACATGTTTCTTGGTGCCAGTCACTGTGCAACTCAGCATAAACTTGGAAGCTATATAGACCCTCAAGGCATTTTTCTTAATTATCAGATTTGACTATTTCTGTTCATTCTATCTGTGTCTGCTTGGCTTCCCAATAGAATAGAGCAAACTCTTTGAGGGCAGGGTCTAGCTCTGTAATTCACCGTTACCTTCAAGCATCAAACCATTGTCATAGACCATATAAATACTCAGCAAGTACTTGCAGACTGATTCATTGCTTTGTGTCTGTTTCTCCAGAGGAGAGCAGAACAGTCCTTAGTCGGGATCATCCTCATTTCACTCTAAGGTTCATTGATTACTATTTTGCATATATGCTCTTTTAGTATTAAAATTCATAGAAATTCCTCATTCCTATTGGTGAACGCTCTTCCAACTACCAGTTTTCTCATTTGTAAAATGTAGATGATGATGTCCATTCCAAAAGATTACGATGAAAATCAATTGAGATAGTCTATGCAGGGTACGCCCCACGGTTGGGTTCAGCATGCTCCTCTTCGACAGCTAGGGTTCGTGGGTCTGCATCCCGGGCGCAGACCTATACCACTCATCAGCCATGCTGTCACGGCAACCCACTCACAAAATAGAGGGAGATTGAGATGTTAGCTCAGGGCTAATCTCACTGAGGAAAAAGAAAAAAAAGCGACTGGAACATAGTAAGTACTCAATAAATGTTAGTTCCTTTCCTCCATTTCTCACCCCACCTGTCTCTTCCTTTTGAATTTCAAACTACTTATCAACAAAAGCATTTTTATTCAAAATGATGCAAATTTTGTATTCAAAATGTTATATGGGGGCCGGACCTGTGGCCGAGTGGTTAAGTTCGTGGGCTCTGCTGTGGTGGCCCAGTGTTTTGTGGGTTCGAATCCTGGGGGCGGACATGGCACTGCTCATTAAGCCATGCTGAGGCAGCATCCCACATGCCACAGATAGAGGGACCCACAACTAGGAATATACAACTACATGCCGGGGGGCTTTGGGGAGAAAAAGGAAAAAATAAAATCTTTAAAAAAAATGTTATATTAAATCTTATATAAACTTAAATATGATATTTGACCTATTGAAATTTGTTACTAGGATGTTCACTATTTTGATGAAGACAAAAAGAAAGCCACATCGATAAACAAGTGTTAAATAGTGAAATCAACAAACATATTAAATTATTCCAAAATATTGATTATGCAAATGCCATGTTCAAGGAAAAGTACTGTGTGGTCTGGGAGAAAATACTTAATCTATGCCTTTGAAGAATTGGAAATCTAATAAGGAGATAGAAAGTACAGAAATAACCATCATTCAGAGGAAAAATTATTTGTGTAAGAATATATCATGTGTAACTCTTCAGTGACAAATTTGAAAACCAAGAGGAAATGGTGATTTCCTAGAAAAAGAGAATTTTCAAAAATCTTAAAAGAAATACTAAACTTAATTAGACAAATTACCATATAAAGCTATCAAAATGGGATTATATATCTACTAGAAACTCAAAAACTGTGTCCTCAACAACAAAAACAAACAACCCAATACTACAAGTGACCAATAAGCACAGGAAAACATGTACAACTTCACTAACCGTTAGGAAAATGGAAATCAAAATCAAAATGAAATACTAATTCATACCCATTAAGATGACATTTTTAATAGAAAATACTAAGTGTTGCCAAGAATGTGGAGAAATTAGACCCCTCATGCAGAAACCTTGGAATGCAAAATGGTACAGCCACTGTGGAAAATAATATGGTGGTTCCAAAAACATTAAATATAAGTTTACCACAAATCCAGCAGGTCCACTTTTGGGCATACACCCAAAACAATTGAAAGCAGAAACTGCAACAGATATTTGCACATCCATGTTCATAGCAGCATTCTTCACAATAGCCAAAAAGATAGAAACAACTCACACATCCAATGATGAATATATGCATAAGCAAAATGTGGTATATGCACACACGGGAAGATTCTTCAACCTCAAAAGGGAATGAAATTCTGTAAAATCCTACAATATGGGTGAACCTTGAAGACATTATGCTAAATGAAATGTCATATTCAAAAGGATAAATATTGTATTATTCCACTTATAAGAAGTATCTAGAGTAGTCAAAATCATGGAGACAGAAAATAGAATGGTGGTTACCAGGGGCTGGAGGTGGAGTGGGAATGGAGAGTTAGTGTTTGATGGATATGGAATTTTGGTTTGGAATGATGAAAAAGTTTTGGAGATGGATAATGGTGATGAATGCACAGCAATGTTGATGTACTTAATGCCACTGAACTGTACACTTTAAAATGATTAAAATTGTAGCTTTTATGTTATATTTATTCTACCACAACAAGAAAAATACAGATTCTAGACCAAAAACAAAACTATGTTATCTTTGATTCTCCCTCTTTCTGTTATATCTTATAGCCAATCCATCAGCAGATTCTGTGGATTACAACTTCAAAATATATACAGAGCCCTCCTACTTATTACCAACACCACCACTCCCATCTTTGTCCATAACACCTGCCATTTCTTCTAGGTTCTCCATCGCCTCCTCAACACCCAACCCCACTGACATATCCCTGGAGGAGGGCAGGGTTAGAAAACACAGGGAAAGGGAAGGTGGGCTTGCAGATTTAAGACAGAGGAGGCTAACAACACACACCCTCTCTCCCTGAAGATTTCCTGCCTGACATAGGCCTTAGGAAGAAGGAGGAAAGAGTGCATTTTAACTTTAATTGAAGTTCAGAATTTGAACGATTCCATAGGATTGGACAATTGAATAACTCTGTTCTTTGGACTGATCGTGAATGAAGGACTTCTAAAATTATATAAGCAGCTGGAAAAACCCCCATACCTGTCTTAGATTCTATCCAAGGACCGTGGAAGAAATAGCTATATGAACAGGTTGAACGGGCATGCAGGAAAGGGCTAGAGTGAAGAATGCATAATACAAATAAAAAATTATTAGCCATAATATGCAAAGAGAAACAACCAAATAGATAAATGAGCTAAGGATATGCATGGACACTTCACAGAAAAGCAAATTGAAAGGACCAATAAATAGGTGAAAATACATTCCACCATATAAATAGCCAGGACAATTCAAATTAAAATAACTCTTTTGATGATTGATGATGTATTTTTAATTTTTTAGGATAATAGTGGCATTACATTTATATTTTACAGACTACTATTGTTTTAATACTTACAAAAACATTTACAGATGAAATGATCATGACATCTGGGATTTACTTCCCAATAGTATGGAAAAGGGGAAAGTAGCTGGTAGTCTAGGAGAAACGTGACTGGCCAAGAGTGGGTTATTGTTGAAGCTAAGTGATGACTGCATGGAGATTCATTATACAATTTGTCTACCTTCGTATATGTTTGAAATTTCCATAGGAAAAACAGAAAACAAAAAGATAATGGAAATACTTCAAACAAGTGTAATGTGCATATGACCTTGGGTGGTACCTACAGCAATGCAACAGGAAAAATTTATAAGAGATGTTGCACAGGCAGAAGCTGATAGGGCTTGGGTCCTGAAGAGAAAAAAATGACTGGAGAAAAAAAATCTTAAAGGAGATCCATAAGTATTGAGACTGGGTAATTAGAAAGATGTTATCACAGAAATAGAGCAGGAAGGAGGAAAAGTTGGCTTGGGATCTAACATGGTCAGTTCTGTTTCAAACATCTATAACATAGGTGCACCAAACTTGAGACATGCCTGTTGACTGGGACAAGGTACTCTTTACAACAATTTCCAATGGCACTGGAATTGTCCAGTTGTCCATCTCTCATTCTCACTCTTTAGTTTATAACAAAGAAGGATGTCCAAAAAGTGGATTTTCATAAAGCTCAGAAGAAAATTGTGATGCTAATATTTGTAAGCTTGTCACTAACCACTGGGAAAAGGAAGTCTCTATGTTCAAATCTAGCAGGTAGCAAATACTGTTCTCTATAAGTTTATATGAGAATAATTAATGATATAAACTGAGGTCAAGATTTAGAGTATAACAAAGTCCAAAGAACCTTTCATCAGCAGACAACTCAAGACCAAAATTTATATGAAGTGTGATATCTGTAATCAGTCTGTCAAGCATTGAGTGCCCCACCACTACACCTCAAGAATAATGGCCATAATCCTGAACAGAGGTGGACTAGTGACCAATTGTTGTCTAACGTATTACCTTAAACTTAGCACCTTTAACAATGAGCATTCATCAGCTCACAATTTCTGAGCTAGGAATCCGGACATGACTTGACTGGGTATCTTGGGCTCAGGATCTCACACAAGGGAACAACCAAGGTGTGGGTCAGGACTAAGTCATCTCAAGGCTTGACTGCAAGCGACTCTGCTCCTAAGCTCTCTCATGTGACTGTTGATAGGCCTCAAGTTCACTGGCTGTTAGCTAGAGACATCAGTTCCTTGCCGTGTGGGCTTCTGCACAGGGCAGGGCACGGCATCTCAGAGTAAACAAGAGAGCAAGAGAGGGCATGCACGATGGAAAACACAGGCTCTTGGTAACATTCTCAGAAGTGATGTCTCATCCTTTTTACTGTATTCTATTCATTAGAAGGAAGTCACTAGGTCCAGCCACACATAAAGGAAGGAGATTACACAGGGACATGAATGCCAGCAGGTGGGGGTCACTGGGGCCATCTTAGAGGCTGTCTATCACAATAACTATGCAGTTCTTGTTCCTCCCGTCCCCTAGGGTGATGAATTTTGAAAGCATAAACAAGATCATGTCACTTCTCTGCTTAAAACCTTCCAATTACATTTGGAATGAAAACCGTCCTCCTCACCAGGAGTGATCTTCAAGTCTCTGTAAATTTTAAACCCAGGACAACTCTCCCGCCAAATCTCAAATCATCATCATCCTCTTCCTAGCTCACTTTCTGTCTTTCTGTGCCTCAAAATACCAGCTCTTTGCCACACCGTGACCTTCACATGCATTCTTCTCTTTGCCTGGAACTCTCCCGACCAGTCACCTGGATGACTCCTACTCTGCCTTCAAGACTGAGCTGCAATCCCACTTCCTCGGGCGTGCTTTTCCTGGCCATCCATCTAAGGCACATCTCACCTGTTTTCTCTCCAAAGCACCAAGTTCTATGCCTTCATTGCCCTTATAATGTCTTATTACGTATTTATTCATGCTTGTTCCTCTTCCTGAAAGGGAGTATGACAAAAAGACTGATTTTCCAGTTCAGGTTCTTCTTCCTTTAGATGAGGGGCCATTTACCCAGAAATAAAAATTCTCATAGTAAAGGTAGAACCATGAGCAAGTTTTAGGCCTTGCTTGACTCTCTCGAGACCAAGTAGGGAAGAAAAAGAAGTATCTTTAGTCAACTCCCTTAGAGGAATTGAAGTTTCCATTCTCACGATGCCTGGCAGGGGCCCATGGTGGGTGATCCCGACCAGAGAGCTGCAGGGCTCTTTCTGGTCTGGCCAGAGGAGGAATACAGTTTCTATAAGCAGATCCCAGCAAACAGTCTGTGCCATGTATACTCCCTACCTTCAGCTATCCAGTTGTCTGCGCCTCCTTCTTACAGTTCATTGATATAGTTATGAC